AGCCGAGACAGGAGAATCTCTTGAACATGGGAGGCAGAAGTTATGGTGAGCTGAGATCGTGCCATTGCACTCCAGCCTGGGCAACAAGAGTGAAACTCTTGTCTCAAAAAAAATTTTTTTTAAAGAAAATGCATTTAATATAGCTCACCACCGAACATCACAGCTTAGCCTAGACTACCTTAATGTGCTCAGCACACTTACATTAGGCTACAGTTGGGCAATATCATCTGGTAGCAGAGTACACTGTTGAAAATCAGTTGTTTACTCTCATGATTTCATGGCTGCCTAGAAGCTGCAGCTCACTGCTTCTGCCCAGCATCAAGAGAGATTGTGATACAGCTTTCCACTGAACGCGTATAGCCACCATAGGTAAGTCAAGGACCAGATGTATTTTCAAACTTCTGTCTGGTATTCAGAAGGCCCTTCCTTTAATTCTCTGGGCAAAACAGGACTCAGTTGATGCCCAGCTAATATATTACTTTGAAAAGCCTTCCCCAGGGCTGGGCACGGTGACTTGGGCCTGTAGCCCCAGCACTTTGGGAGGCTGAGGCGGGCAAATCACCTGAGGATGGTAGTTCGAGACTAGCCTAACCGACATGGAGAAACCACGTCTCTACTAAAAATACAAAATCAGCCGGGCATGGTGGCTGAGGCAGAGAATCGCTTGAACCTGGGAGGCAGAGGTTGCAGTGAGCCAAAATCGTGCCATTGCACTCCAGCCTGGGCAACAAAGAGTGAAACTCCATCGCAAAAAAATAAATAAAAAATTAAAAAGCCTTCACCAAACCTCTCACCCACAGAATTAATTCTGAAATCTTTTGGGCTCCGCAATGTTGATCATATACTTAGCATAGCCCTTATTAACTTGTATGCCCTGATTATGCCTTCATTAAGTGTAAAGATTAAAAACCTGGATGGCCAGAACAGTGGTAATGATAAAAATAAATAAGAAAATTCAAAGAAGGATATATTTCTGAGGAAAAGTTATTTGGTTTTAGATTATTTAACACTTGGAATGTTACATGCCTGCCTATATGGCATAGGGTTAAGGCTTGGTGTATTTTTTTCCCTTGCCTTCACTCTAGTATTTCATGGGTCCTCAGGTAATACCTAATATATACCTGTTTCACATGGACCAGCCCAGGTATCATAAAGCTTACAACAGCATATGGTAAGGAGAAACAACAGTAGTTTAGTTATTATAAAAATGTGCTATGTATTCAGACAGAACTGAGTTCCCATCTTGTTTTGTTATTGTTTTACCTGGTAATGGTGTGACTTTTCTGAGTTTGTTTTTTCATCAGTAAAATGAATATAATAATGCTACTTCAAGATTTCTTAGGGGCTTGGGTGTTAAATGAGATTAAGTATCTAGCATGTGAATGGTGATTGTGATGTATATAAATATGTAAAGAATGCTTCATCTATCCCTCCCAAAAGTAATTTGTTTTGTTTTGTTTTGTTTTGTTTTTAGACAGTTTCAGGCTGGGCGTGGTGGCCATGCCTATAATCCCAGCACTTTGGGAGGCTGAGGCGGGTGGATCACAAGGTCAGGAGATAAAGACCATCCTGGCTAAAATAGCGAAACCCTGTCTCTAAAAGTTAAAAAAAAAAAAAAAAAAAAAAGAGTTTCACTCTTGTTGCCCAAGCTTCAGTGTACTCGCTCACTGCAATCTCCACCTCCCAGGTTCAAGTGATTCTCCTGCTTCAGTCTCCCAAGTAGCTGGGATTACAGGCATGCACCACCGTGCCCAGGTAATTTTTGTATTTTAGTAGAGACAGGGTTTTACCATGTTGGCCAGGCTAATCTCGAACTCCTGACCTCAGGTGATATGCACCCCCTGGCTTCCCAAAGTGCTGTGATTACAGGCATGAGCCACTGTGTCTGGCCCCAAAAGTCAAATTTTTGACAGTGCTTTTACCCCACCTTGACAAATTGAAAAACATTTTGTTCTTAATAAATGTCATAAACAAATGTATCTAAAATTTTTATTTAAATGTGTTTTTAAGCAAAAAAAATTTAAGGTGGGAAAACATGTTTTTACCTGGAAATTGAGGAGTTGCTGGCTTGTGTTTGAAAGAAAGGTGGAAACACTGATTACCATCTCTGCTAAGTTTAGTAGAGAAGTCTAAAGAAGAGCATAAACTTTTTGTGTCTTTCTTGGAGAATTCTGAATTCAGTTTTTTGCAACCACATATTATCAGATGACTCCAACCTTATGTGGACTGGAGGAGGAAAATTTTGCTAATAGAGGTCACTAAGTCAGTAGCTGTTTAGGCAGTGAGAGATTCATCCTACTCCTGTAACATCGTGTGTCCCTACTATCCTGCACTCTCCCCTCTACTCCCAAGTAGCTCACTCTCCATTAAAACTATTGGAGGAAAATGAATGTATATTTTTAATGGTCAAATATGTATACAATCAATAATTTTCCTTTGTATTGCTTACCTTCTGATATCCTGAAACAAAGAGTTTTACATTAACCATAAGTTAATACTTAGAATAAAACGGCTATGGGTAAATATTTATTCCTTCCTGTATAGGACCTATAAATCCTAAATCATGGCTTTGATCCAGTGACAGGATGAAAGCACATAGTTCCTTCTACAACTCCCTAAGTTAATACCCCACCTTTCATCCACAATCCCTCAAGGACCTTTATTTTTTCTCCAAAGTGTACTGACTGGCAGAGCCCCTTCTTCTCTGGATGCACTTGCATTTCCTGTTGAGATGTCAAGGTCTATACTATGAAGTGGTATTACTGTTGATCTCTACAGAGGGTGGTCTGAATAAAATATATAGATAACTGCTTCTGTTTTGCTTTCTGTAAATATCTGTTCAAATTCTTGGAATTCTCTCCCAGCTCACTTCATGTAGCCTTTCATAAGGGACTTGGTTCTTAATGCTTTTGCCACTTCCTTAGTAGTCTGCTAGAAGGCTTCTGTGGCAGCTTATTTTCACTGCCAATGGCAGGATTTCATTAAAAGGGCAGTAAAACGTAGTATTTAGGAATTCAGGCTCTAGCTTAGAGTCAGAGACCTGGGTTCATATGTCACACCAGCTCCTTGGGCAAATTATTTAACTTCTCTAAGCTTCAGTTTCCTTATCTGCTAAGTGGAGATATAGTATTTACCCTACAGTTGGCTGTGAATATTAAATGATATTATAAATATAAAATGTATTATATATTGCCTTGGACATTGTAAACATTCAGTAAAGCTTGCCTATTATAAAGATCAAAGACTAAAGGAAGCTGGCAGAGGAGGGATGCTAAAAGACAATTTTTTAAGAGATGGGGTCTTGCTATGTTGCCCAGGCTGGTCTCAAACTCTTGGCCTCAACTGATCCTTTGCCTCAACATAATTAAAAAATATGCCTGAAGGTGTTGAAAGGGAAGAGACTATACTGCCATGCAAATTTGTTGAGTGATTACTATGGCCAAGAAATGGGACAATGACTGAGGCATAACCCGTACCTTCAGGAATCTGATAGTCTAGTTTCTCCCTTAGTAAACCTTAAGTAGCCACTATTAATCTCTTCGTGGCAAAAAACAAATAGGTAAAATTCTGAAATAATGCAGATGTGTTAATTTCTCATGATACAATTAGAAAGGACCATTAAAAAAAAATCTTTCTACCCTGTCTTGAGATGGATGAAAATCTGGAAGGCTTTGTAAGTAAAAAGGATCACTGATAGAATATTATTCTAGTACTGTTTCTAGACATTTCTAGAAAAGAAATGTCAGAGAATACTATATATAAAAATAATTTGAATGAAATTATGATGCAGTTGAATTTTTTCCAGCTAATACGATTCTTTTCTAATACACTATTGTTGAAAGCCACTTAAATTCCAACAAAAATGAAATATATGAAGAAATTATGGTATTTATACCATGTCAGGATTAAAAATCAGGTTTTGGAATGGGTGCAATGGCTCATACCTGTAATCCCAGCAGACAGATCACTTGGGGCCAGGAGTTCGAGACCAGCGTGACGAACATGGTGAAAACCCTCTCTACCAAAAACACAAAAACTAGCTGAACATGGTGGCACATGTCTGTAATCTCAGCTACTTAGGAGGCTGAGGCACGAGAATCACCTGAACCCAAGAGGCAGACGCTGCAGTGAGCCAAGATCATGCCACTGCACCCCAGCCTTGGCAACAAAGTGAGACTCTGTTTAAAATAAAAATGGTTTTGGAGGACTCAGTAATAACATGGGAAAATCCTTTCTGATAAATGAAAAAAGCAGGCCTAGGCTGGGCACAGTGGCTCATGCCTGTAATCCCAGCCCTTTGGGAGGCTAATGTGGGAGGATCACAAGGTCAGGAGTTTGAGACCAGCCTGGCCAGTATGGTGAAACCCCATCTCTACTAAAAATACAAAAATTATCTGGGCCTGGTGGTGCACACCTGTAGTCCCAGCTACTTGGAGGCTGAGGCAGGAGAATCACTTGAACCTGGGAGGTGGAGGTTGCAGTGAGCTAAGATGGCACCACTACACTCCAGCCTGAGCAACAAAGCAAGCCTCTCAAAAAACAGGAAAAAAAAAAAAAAAAAAAAAAGAAAGAAAAGAAAAGAAAGAAAAAGAAAAAAGCAGGCCTAGATATAGAATGGTTCTAATTTTGTTAGAAAAGCATACAGAAGGAAACCAATAGTTGGAAGGTGAGTTTACAAGTAAATTTATTTTCTTCTTGAAATGCTTTTGAATAAAATAAACATTTCAACAAAATGCTTCAGGCTCTTAAAATACTTGAAGCTCATGGTGCATTAGGTTTCAACTTAACATAGGTCACATTAAAAATCTGTTTAGGTGGTTCACCACAAAACAGATAAGAACACAAAACAAAAAGTAACTGAAAGGAGAGAAAGTTTCAAGATTAACTTAACTTATATTGTTGTAGTATATAAATTATTATGTATCCATGACAGCAAGGACTGACTAGAGCTCAGTAAATGACATGCATATATCTAATTCTGGCATATTACGAAATCATACCTTGACAATAGGTATAAACTTGAGAAGGATCACCTGTTACGTCCATTGACAGTGAGTTGTATGATTCCCGAGAATGTTTTTCCATCACCTCTGCTGTATGACTGGATAAAGATGATGATGCAGACAATCCCAGTCTAACATCTCTTCCTTTTTTACCGCAGAGTGAACAATCTACTGGTGTGGCACTAGGTCCCCGAGGCAGCTGAACTTCATCTCTGTTGTAGTTTCTGACAGCTCCACTGTGATGAACAGAGCGTTCTCTTTGCCAGATATAATGGGTTGGTGCAATGGCCATAACCTATAATGGAAAGCTTACTTTTAGAATTTTAGTAAGTTTCAAAATTTACTAAAATTGAGCTCAAAAATTATAACTCAAAAAATGTCTCTAAAGTGAAGTTAAAAATACAAATTGCTGATTTAAAAACAGAACATTTTCAGATAAGGCAATATTACTAGAAAGTGACTCATTGCTTGGATCTTTAACACAATAATTGACAAAGTAAATTATTTTAAACATGAAATAGGACTGAAGCAACCTTCCAGGTTGTCAGGGTATTTATTTTTAAATTCTGAACATTCTAAGTTTGGGAAACATAATACAGTTTGTAATTCTTAACTTTGGAATGTATTGGGTTAAAAAAAATCAGATGAGGTTCCCAGCTATGTGTGTTATGCTAATCTTTTTTTTTTTTTTTTTTTTTTTTTTGAGACGGAGTTTCACTCTTGTTACCCAGGCTGGAGTGCAATGGTGCGATCTCGGCTCACCGCAACCTCCGCCTCCTGGGCTCAGGCAATTCTCCTGCCTCAGCCTCCTGAGTAGCTGGGATTACAGGCACGGGCCACCATGCCCAGCTAATCTTTTGTATTTTTAGTAGAGACGGGATTTCACCATGTTGACCAGGTTGGTCTCGATCTCTCGACCTTGTGATCCACCCGCCTCGGCCTCCCAAAGTGCTGGGATTACAGGCTTGAGCCACCGCGCCCGGCCTATGCTAATCTTAAAATGTTTGCAATTATGGAAAGAGATATGGTAAGGCCAGGAGCAGTGGCTCATGCCTGTAATCCCAGCACTTTGGGAGGCCGAGGTGGGTGGATCACGAGGTCAAGAGATCAAGACCATCCTGGCCAACACAGTGAAATCCTGTCTCTACTAAAAATACAAAAAATTTAGCCGGGTGTGGTGGCACACACCTGTGGTACCCACTACTCAGAAGGCTGAGGCAGAAGAATCGCTTCAACCCAGGAGGCGGAGGTTGCAGTGAGCCAAGATTACGCCACTGCACTCCAGCCTGGTGACAGAGCATGACTCCATAGGTAAGTTATTTAATCTTTCTGTTTCTCAGCTTTGTCATCTTTAGTATGGAGATAGTAAGTGTCTATTTTAGAGGGTTGTTGGGGAGGATCAGAGGAGGCATTATTTATAAAGCCTCACTATCTGCCAGTCTTTGTTCTATAAAGTTTATTAAATAAAACATGGGTTTTAGAGTCAGGGTACACTTAGTTTCTTACCCTGGCACTGCCACATGCTAGCTGTATGAAACTGGACAAGTTATTTAACCTTCCTGGGGCTCAATTTCTTCATCTCTAAAATGGGCATACCATCTACTTCACAGGATTATTCTGAGGACTAGATGATTTGTAAAATCATCACATAGTAAGCATCTGGCAAATGACAGCCATTTAAGAAGTCAAGCTAGGGAACTGTATGTATGTGCCAACCTCATTGCTAACCATTCTAAGCAAAAATCTTTAGTTACAGTAATCAATGACCCAAAGTAAATGAGAACTGTAACATGTGAGAGCTAGGCAGAGCCTTATTAATTGCCTAGACCAGTGATTTTCATGTTTAGAGAGTCTGGGTGCAATGACCCACTCCTGTAATTGCCATCACACCCAGCTAATTTTTGTATTTTTAGTAGAGATGGAGTTTTGCTATGTTGACCAGGCTGGTCTCCAACTCCTGCTGACCTCAAGTGATCCACCCACCTCAGCCTCCCAAAGTGGTGGGATTACAGGTGTGAGCCACTGTACCTGGCCAAAAACTGTTTTTTTGCAACAAGTGCATCAGTCTTTCCACAAACTAACCCAGCTAGAAAAATACACAACCACTTGTGTATTTACTTTTTAACATGTCTACATATATTTTATATACACATAACCGTATAATTAGAATTTACTGTGATAAGTGAATTAAAAATAAAACTGTACCAGGGTCAAGAGAGCTAGATTTTCATCTTAATTCTGTTATTCTGGTGGGCGCAGTGGCTGACGGCTGTAATCTTAGCACTTTGGGAGGCTGAGGTGGGCAGATCACTGGAGTCAGGATTTTTGAGACCAGCCTGGCCAACATAGTAAAGCTCCATCTGTACTAAAAATAGAAAATTAGCTGGGCATAGTGGTGCATTGTCTGTAATCCCAGCTACTCGGGAGGCTGAGGCAAGAGAATCATTTGAACCTGGGAGGCAGAGGTTGCAGTGGGCTGACATCATGTATTACACTCCAGCCTGGGTGACAACAGCAAAACTCAGTCTCAAAAAAAAAAAAAAAAAAAAAAAAAAAATTCATTATTTCTTGGGCAAATTACACAACTTTCTAGGCCATCGGGTGTTTTTTATATGAGAAAATAGATCACTTACAATCCCCCAATGATGTGATTCTATGAAAGGGACTTCTCTGAAACACTAGCAGCAGTTGATCTACCAGAAATATCCCCCTTTCTACTTTATCTTATTCTTTCATCATTTTAATTAATTTATTATTATTTTTTAAAAGATCGGGTTTCATTATGTTGGCCAGGCTGGTCTTGAACTCCTGACCTCATGATCTGCCCGCCTTGGCCTCCCAAAGTGCTGAGATTACAGGCGTGAGTCACAACACCTGGCCCTCTTTCATCATTTTTAGTGATAGGGGGTGCCTTGGGTCAGTGTTCCTAAAATTTGATACTTGGCCCTCTGTTTTTCTGTGTATATACTCTACCTCTGTGATCTCAAGAGGTAGTATAGAACAGGTGTTAAAAGCACTGACTCTGTCAAAACCAACCCAGTCAGCTTCTCCTCTCCCTGGCAGGGAGAGGAATAGGGAGGAGATAGGGATAGACATGAAAAGATTTTTTAAAAAGCACTGACTCTGGAGTCAGATTGCCTAGATTTGAATCCTGGAGTGCTGCTTTACTTATTGTGTGTCCTTGGAGAAGTCATTTAACCTCTCTGTTCCTTAGTTTCTTATCTGGGATTACTTAGCTAGATCTAAGAATTTTAAGAGTTAATATATGGGCCGTACTTGGAACAGTGCCTGGCAAGTTCTTAAAAAGTATTAATATTACTTTAACTTTGAATCTCTTAAATACTCTAAGCTTTAAGCATCATTTATACATAATGACTTTTATCATGCCTGTTGACCATTCATTTAGTTATATCCAGTTATTGCCTTAAATTCATGTCTATATACCAAATTCCTTATCTCCCCAGGGAATCTAGTTTGCTTCTGTAGCCTTCCCTATTTCCATTATGTAATCGATTACTCTTTCTGCTATACAGATTTGAAACTGACAGTTCCCTCTCCCATGTACCCTATATCCAATTGGTAGCCAGGTAATGATAATTATAATTTTGTAACATTTCTAACATCTCTTTCATTTTCTTCAGCGCTGCTATTGATTTCTTCACACACTTGTTTCTAGCTGTAGCAAGTTTAGCAATTTCCAGTACATTCCCTATATTGGGTCTCTTCTGCATACTGGATGAATGATCCAATAATACATTGGATTATTCTGTCCAAACACACTATTATATTATCATTGCTTTCTAAATTCGTAATCTGGAATCAAGTAATAGATAGTGAAGAACTCAGCTATGATGATATTGTGGCATCTTGGCCAGAGTATTAACTGGAATAGAGAAAAACTTCTTGATTAAATTGCTACCCTCCATGATGTATGAAAGGGGCTGTAAGTGTAGTCTAACCCTCTCATTAGATAGACATCCTCCCTAATGTGTGAACCAGTCTAGAAATTAAGCCAACACCAATGTAAATAAATCTCACCTCAAAGAAGCTGATGATAAGATCATCAGGTAAGAAGATAAAATCAGAATAAACAGAGAAATAGTCCACTTTTTTTTTTTTTGAGACGCCCTACATATATTTTCCAATTTAATCACACCCCATCTCTTTCAAAAAAAAGAATGAGGCAGCTGACAAAAAAAAGGGGGGAAAAATTCATTGAACTGGGACCCAAAAGGGAAATTTCAACTAAAAGGGGAAAGCAGACATATCAGTAATAAAATGTAACAGAGTTGATGTGATTAAGGATAGTACCTGGCTCTTAGCTTGTTTGCAGCCAAGATTTAAAAAGAAAAGAGACAAATTACAAAACTCATTATCTGAAAAGAGAGCACATGTTCTTTCTTATGTCAGTACCATATAATGCAAAGAGTACTGAGTTTAAGTATGTTGGGTCTGCTACTTATTAACTTCATGGCCATGGACAAATCACAGTCTTACCTAGCCACAGTTTTTGCATCTGTGAAATGAAGAGAATACGGAGGCTATTTTTTAATTCCCAAGACAAGATATAAATGGATTTTTCTAAACTAATCAATAAGAGAGGCTAGATGTCACAGAAAAAAGAACACTAGGAAGTCATTAGATGTTCTGGCGCCATTTCTATGATTTTGAGTAAATCCCAACCTCCGTGGTCCTCAGTTTCATCAACTGTAAAATGAGAATGCCACCACCCTCGCAGCTATTTGTCTGATAATTTCTAGGAAAATATTCATAATTTATATAGCACTATGCAAATGTAAAGTATTATTAGTGTAAGCTAGTTTGTAGCTACTATCCTAACTTATTTTAGGATATGGGACTAAAGAAATGTTTTGTTTGGCAGTATGCAAGGCTTTCAGTAACAAATTTAAATGCTTATATTTTCAGAAGTCTGTCTTACTACTTCAGGAATGGGAATGGGGTGATATAATACTTCTTTACAATACACTCCCAGGGCACTGAACTTGGTGTGTTATTTATAAAGTAGTTGTCCAGTGAACACTTAACGGTATGAAATCTACTAGGCAAATACCTTTTCTACATGCCAACATGATTCAAATGTAGATGGTTGGAACAGCCAAAAGAACAGCTTCTCTATCTGCCACTGGAGTAAGGGGCAGTGCAAAGTGAGCTCAGTGAAGAATTATTTCATAGTTTATTGTTTCCCTATTTCATGGATAAGAAGGTATGAAAAAGAATTGGAAGTTCCATTCATTTTATCAGTCAACAAATATTTATTGACTGCCTACTACGTGC